CTATAGGTCTCGATAGCCGGGCACCATCAGCCTTCTTCACCACACTTACTTATGCACACATTCATCTTCAGCGTTTATGCTTCAGGCAATGATGTTGCTTGGATGGTTTGAAAAAATACTGCCCCCTGAAAGTCCTTTTAATGCAACATGCAGCACCTTTCCATTTGGTTTCTTTTGCAGTTGAGGACAGCGAAAGATTATGGAATAAAGATCCGCTGACGAGCATTTCCTACCAGATCAACTCCAAGTCCGCTTTAACTTGGCACCAGGCGAGGAAGAGCTGCCAACAGCAGAATGCCGAGCTCCTGAGCATCACAGAAGTACACGAGCAAACGTACCTGACAGGTAATGACAGGAAAAGGAAAGGAAGTTGTAAATGGGATCACGGTGGTGTGAATGCAGACATGACAGAAAGGACACATGGCAAATGGGTTTCACCTCAGGAGCTGACTTGGTTCCATTGGTTGTGACCCTCTCGAGAGCCCTGTGCCAAGAAGGATTCTGAGGTTGAACCTGGGCTCAGAGGAAAAGACTCCATAATCAACAACTCACGTTCCTCCTGGGCACAGTGTAGGGATACCCCACAGGCCTGGCCTGAACCTCAGTCTCAGCATCATAGAGCTCAAAATGATAAAATGAAATTCTACCAGCACATGCGGTCAAGGGCTGGTTTGAAACCCGGCTTCTTCTTGGCCTCCTGTCTCTATGTCTGTTTCCGCCAGTGGAACATAGGTACCATGTAGGCAGCACCAATCAGCGTTGGTGGCATTGCGTATCCAGGACTTGGCGTAACAGGTGCTCCCCAACTCAGTGATTTCTAGATCCGATTGCTCCTCTTTCCACAAAGTGAAAATAAATAAATTAATTAATTTTAAAAATGGACCCATCGTGTTGTCTACCTGGAAGGAGTGTAGTGCTTGCATGGGAAGAGAGTATCTGCTTTAGGATCTAAAATCCATGCTTGGGGAAACTGAGGACCAGAAATCAGTCTCAAAGCCGACCACTGCCAGTTTCCTGACCCCCGACTCCCTTTCCTTCAATCTGCGCTGACACGGCTATCGGACCCCTCTCACTCTGATTGTCGGAGTCCCACGATCGATCCCCAAACCCTTCGTGGCTTCTCATGTTCTACCAGAGTTCACAAATGCCTTGTCGTCCATCTCCTCCGGTCTACTTGCACGTTGCAGGATTGACAAAATAAACACCAGTGAGTTTGTGCCTCGTAATTCCTCCAGGCCCCTGTCTTGACTCACCCCACTTCTGATGGGGCTTCAAGAAGCTCACGCGCAAGTAGAATGAAAACATCATTCATTTGTCTCGCTCCTGGAAGATCTCTCATGCGTTATGTGGGGCTCCCCCTCCACCAGCCCCCACTTTTTTTACTTCTCAGAGGTTTTTTTGGTTGACATGTGATCTCCACAAAGTCCTCCTCTCTACTTCCACCTTGGCTTCGGCTCATCATCTTCATTCTCGTCCCTGACGCGTCCTCCTTCCCTTAGGAGGCGATGCATGCCGTCTTCTGCTCTTGTTGTGATTCATCTATAGAGTCCTTCACTCACTCAACAAGACAGCTGGGTACCTGTTACGCTAAGGCCTGGGTCTCGAATGTCACCAGAGTGGGTCGGTTCTGCCCACCTGGAGTTTAAACGCCAAAAGGGAAAACAGACATTAACAATGAAAGAAGCATGTGCAAACAGTTCAGAGCCAGCACCGCGGAAAAGCAAACGGAAGGCTGTGTGGAGAATGGGTGAGAGGAAGAAATGGCTGAGAAAACGAGGTCTGTCGTGTGAATATTGAGGCCCCACCCACAGAGATTAGCACAGAACCTCCCAGAAAAGGTCTCTGCCCGGCTCATGATGTTGAGGCAAAATGGAAATCGTCAGCGATCTAGATCAGCACATGGCCTTTTTTAACAGCATCCCGGAGATCGCATAGTCACTGCATTGCCAATGTCCACAGGTTCCTCTGACTGCTTCCAGGGACTGAGGACAGGCTGTTCAGGCAGGGACTCCGCAGCCAGCCTGGGTCTCTGCTCTGTGGAGACGATCTCCTGAGGGTCTTACCCGAGGAGTCTGTGCTGTCTCCATGAGTGGTGCCTGCGCGGGTGCTTCCCATAAAAACCAAATACAGGTTCCCCGGGAGCTGGGATAGAATGGAAGGAGTAGTCTGCCCGCAGCTACGCCTCATTTTCCTATTTTCAAATAATACCTCTCATCAGTTGGCACATTAAAGAAACTAACTGCGTTCGAGTTTATGTCGACTCACCGTGACCCCATGGGGCAGACTACAACTGGCCCCGTGGGGTTTGGAGGCTGTCATTTTTTTTGTGGGAGTCGAAAGCCACCCTGTCACCAGAGCTCCATGTAGCTGACACATTAAGATCAAAGAAACAAAAACATCACACCGATGCTGATTCATCATGAACCTACGGGACAGGGTAGAACTGCCCCTGTGAATTTCTGAGACTGGAACATGCTAAGGAGAATAGAAAGCCTCATTTTTCACCGGTGGCGTGGCTGGTGGTTTTGAACTGCAGACCTTGGGGTTAGCATCCCAGTTCATAACCACGATACCACCAGAGCTCCTAGCTGACAACACACATGTCCCCTACCTTAGGATGGCGACTGAGGAAAGAAAAGTAGTACATCCACCCCTCCTTCAGAAATGGATGGCGTCACACCCTGCTGAACCATTCCGGCCCTCAGAGCCTTCCGAATATTGGGACAAAGGACCAGAGCCATTCATAGTTGCCAGTTGCTAGTTGTTAGGGCCTTGACTCCTCATCTGTGTCCGAGTAGAACTCCGCGCCACAAAGTTTTCTGTGGCTGAATTTGTGGAAGTGGATTGCCAGGCCTTTCTTCCAAGGCACCTCCCCAAGGGTGGGCTAGAACCCCCAGCCTTTCGTTTAGCCTCTGAGCTCCTGCACTGTTGGCAAGACTTACAAGCGCGTAGAACACAATCATTAGGCAGAATCGAAAGAGACGACAAAACCAAAACAATGACAAGCACACGTCATGAAGGAAGAGAAAAGACAATTTTCCCCCCAGACCATCTGCACTTGTCCACTTGCGTGGTTCCGGCTGGCTTTTTTCTTTTTTTTAAGGAATCTTGGTTTTGGTTTGTGCTATCTTGCCTCTGGTGAAATGTACCTGTTTGGGGCTGTCTGGAAGCCCAGGGACAGAGCGCAGGTTCCTTTACCCTCTTTACCAACTGCATAGAAGAAAGGGAGAGGGGCAGGCCAGCCGCTAATTGCCCAGTCAGGTGGCAGCCCCTGCAGTCATCCGACTCCAGAGGCAGGAAATACTTCCCTAATCAGCAAGTGCGATTATTGTGTCCCTCCGCAGAGCAAACAACCCCCCAGACACTCCGGTCACCTCTGAGACGCATTTGAATCTTATCCAAACCTCCCGGATTTTAGTCAGCAGAATTTAAATCCAATCTCGATAAGCCTGACTTCTTAAGAGATACTGTAGTTGTTCCTGCTTTTCCGTGTGTCTAAAATATCACAGATTGGAAGGAAAAATATTGTCTGACAGGAAATTAAAAATCAGAAAGAAGTTTGTGCTTTTCAGAGGGAAGGTATTCAGATAACTGGGTATTTTACTCAGCTCTATAATGTGGGCGTGGGTGGGTGAGGTGTTTCTAAAAGTTCATTGAAAAATCCCATTGCCTTTGAATTCTCTTGGTCCCCTGAACTGTTCTGAGTCCCTGAACTCTTGTATTAGAGAAGGATAGAGTGAATCATGGGATGGTGGGCAGAATGTGAACCACTCCCTTTGGGGCAATGAAACCACGAACCTACTGCCATCAGTCGAGCCGATTTCTACTCAGGACGACTCTGTATAGACCACTACAGTGAAGAAGGAGAGGGAGACTCCCCGCATGATCATACTCTTAACGCAAGATTTCTTTTGGGTGTGGATTGCTGGAGAAGTTCTTCTCACTTTGGAGAAACATGCATAAGCCAGCTTTCATTCAGAGAGCAAACTCACTGTCGTTTATCGAACAGCTGCTGTGTGTGAGACAGGAAGTTTCTTTGAAAGCTCAGAACCTTGACCCCCCTTTATGGATGAGACAACAGACTCGGAGGCAGAAGTCAGGAACTCACGTAAGGCCTCAGGTGCCATTTGAGGGCCACATGGGATGCCAGCGCTGTCTTTCCGTGGTGGGGCCTTGGGTGGTAGCAACGGTGATGTGCTCAGGTGTCAGTTCAAAGGTTGCTTCAAAACCACCCAGAGACATCCCGCAAGACTAGGGCTCACCATCTGTATGTGGAGGGTCAGAGCCTTGGCAGAAATGCTGTACAGCAGCTCTGCTCTGCACACAGGGGCTCAGCAGGAGCCAGAATCCACAACATCTCACAAGAGCCAGAACAAGTTGTGTGACCGTGCTGTGTCTCATTCAGAAGACGCGGTGGTCCTTAGAGCACCAACTCACCGTCAGCCAGGGGCCGTAGTCACTCTGTGACCACAGGTGTGTCCGCATAGACTGGCGTAGTTTGGCATCTGGACTTTTTTGCCAAGGCACCCCTGAGTGAACCGCCACCTCTAACTTTTCTGTCAGTAGCCAAGCACAGTGGGCTTGGTTTTTGTTGTTGTTGCTTGGGGCCAGAGCTGACCAGGGCTGTCCAGAAGACCACTGTCCATCACCTGCTGGCCATCATCATCTTCACTTCTGCTTCCACCCTGAAAACTGTTGGCACACTCCGGCTCATTCTGAGGAATCAGATTTACAGCTACGTGTGTGCAGGAGTCCGTTTTACAGAACTGAGATAAGATTGAGGAAGTGAAACTTGGCTTCCTACACTGATTGTTTTTGCCAGTTTCCTTTAGTGTTGACTGGGGCGTGGGGGTGGGGGTGGGGAGCCGGTCTAAGGTGCCCTGCAGGGTCGCTCGGAGTCAGAATTGACTCGCCACAGCGGGTTTTGTTCATTGAGATTTCAGCCAGTCGAACGACGTTCATCCTTCCCGGGTGCTTTACCTCACACAGGAATCTCCAAGAAGAGGATGTCATGTTTGGAAGGGGGAAACTATTCCTTTAAACTATTGAGGTCCCGAATGGTCTTCCCAGGCCAATGCATCCTTACATCTTTGAAGAGGGGAGAGAGTCCTTTTCCTGCCTG